CGTTTCCGCAAGGTCCCATGTCGATTTACGTGAAGGAACATGTTACATTGGAAAGTGATCGGTCACCGCTGGGGCCCGCCTAGTTTCTAGACCAACATCAGAACCTTTTTTTTCACTTGGGAAATCCAACACCCAACACGCGCGAGATCGCGCGTGTTCGCGCGGGCGCGCGCGCGTCCTCGCGCCCGCGCGCGCGAGACGCGTCCGCAAGGTCCCATGTCGTTTTACGTGGGAAGTAGCATGTTAACTTGGGTATGAGATCTGTCACCGCTGGGGTCACCTTTAGTTTCTAGACCAACCTCATAACCTTCTGCAGCTGGGAAATACAACACCCAGGACGCGCGTGTCTGCGCGGGCGCGCGCGAGTCCGCGCGCCCGCGCGCGCGAGACGCTTCCGCAAGGTCCCATGTCGACCTACGCGTGGAGGAGCATGTTCACTTGGAAATAAGATCGGCTACCGCTGGGGGTCCGCTGTCATCTAGTTCCTAGACCAATCTCATAATCTTTTGCAACTGGGAACTACAAAACCCAACGCGCCCGAGGGGGTGCGTGCCCGCGCGGACGCGCGCGCGCGTCCGCGCGTCCTCGCGCGTGAGACGACCCCGCAAGGTCTCATGTCGACTTACGTGAAGCAGCATGTTAAGTTCGACATGCGCTCGTTCGCCGCGACGGGCCGACTTCGAGGCCACCATGGAGACCTTTGTAATCTTGGAAGTACAAGACCCAAAACGCGCCTGAACGCGCGCGCCCGCGCGCCGTCGCGTGAGACGGCCCAGCAAGGTTATACGACTGCGCACTAGGAGCCGCATGTTAAATTTGGACTCCGATCGGCCACCGCTAAGGGGCGACTTCGGCTTCTAGGCCACTGCTAGCATGCGAATATGTGGCATGCCGAACCCGCGACGCGCGCGTTCGCGCGTCCGCGCAGACACGCACGCGCGCCCCCCTTTCAGCAATGTTCAATTTTGGCATGCAAAAAACCATGTTAACTTGGAAATCCGATCGGCCACCGCTAAGGGGCGACTTGACTTTCTAGGCCGACATAACGGTCTCTTTCATTGCGGAGAATACAATGCCCAAAGCGCGCATGAGAAAACACCGCAAGTTTCTGCGTTGACCTACTCGTGGGGTTGCGCGTTGTGTTGGGGGTCCAAGCGGCCGCCGATAAGGAGCGACCTTTGTTTCCAGGCCAACATGGCGCCTTTCTAATCTGGTGACTACTATGCCCACCACGCGCGAGAACGCGCGCGCTCGCGCTTCAACGCGCCTGAGAAAACAACCAGCCGTTCTTCATTGACTCACATTCAGCGCTGCGCGTCAAGTGGAACTCCAATCGGCCGCCGTTGCGAGGCGACTCCCTTTCCAGAGCCAACGCCGTTATCTTGCGCTCTGGATTGCATCCGACCCAGCGCGCGCGAAAACGCGCGCGGATGCGCGCGAGGCGGTCCTGCGAACATCAAGATTGACGTGCGTATACAACAGCTGGTTAAGTTGGAAAGGCATAACCAGCCACCGCCAAATGGCGGCTTTCACTGCTAGGCGGCCATATGGCGACCCATATGTTCGGGAACACAAAACATAGCAAACGCATGGCGCCCGCGCCCGAACGCGCGGGGAAGAGCCGCAAGACCCCGCGGTGACTCACATGAAACAGCGCGCTACATTGGAGATCCAATCGGTCGCCGCTACGGGGGCTGCGCTCGGTGAAAACAGAACCCGACGTGCGCATATCCGCGCGCCCGCGCGCGTGAAAGGGCCGCAAGGTTACGCATTGACCTGCGTGCACAAATGCATGTTACGCTAGGGCGCATGGTGGCCTATCGCCACCTGCGAAACGTGCAATGCACCGCGCGGCCGCGGCGGCGCCGCCGCGCGCGCGGCGGCGCCAGCTGCCGCGAGCGCGCCGCCGCGACGCATGCGCCAGCGCGACGCATGGGGAACACGCGGCCATTAGCCATCTGAACACCCAGAAAAGCTTTGCAACCCACGCGTGCCATTGACGCCCTCGACCGCAACATGCGGTGAACCATTGCCGCCTGCCAGGCGCGCAACGCGCCGCGCGGGCGCGGCGGCGCCGCCGCGCGCGGCGGCGCCAGCTGCAATGGGCGCGCCAGCGCGACGCATGGCGAACCGAGAGCCATCGGCAATCTGAGCGCACAGGAGTCATTGTTGGAAACATGCGTTAACACTTCCGCCATGCGCACGCCATGGGACGATAGCTCTAGGGGGTAAGTGGCCCTGGGCCATCTGAACGCCCAGAACCAAATTGCGACAACCGATTGTAACAAAATGCGCCCTTGGCCACAACGTGGGGCGATCCGAGGCCGCGTGCTAGATTTGCAGCGCGCCGCGCCGACGCGGCGGCGCCGCCGCGCGCGCGGCGGCGCCAACTGCCGTGCGCGCGCCAGGGCGCCGCACTGGGAACCCATAGTTCTGGGCCATCTGGGCGCGCGGCGCCAGGCCTTTGCAAATCGCATGAAAAAGGGTTGCGTCCTGGGCCACAACATGACGTGACGTACTGCCACTTGCGTATCTTGCTATGCAACGCGCAGGCGCGTCGACGCCGACGCGCGCGCGGCGGCGTCGGCGGCCGCGCGCGCATGCGCCGCGCGCGGAAAACTGGCGGCCACTGGCCATCTTGACGCCCAGACCGAAGTTCTTACAACAGAAAATGTTACACGTGCGCCCTGCGCCACAACGTGGTGTGACATATCGCCACCTGCTAGCTTTGCAAGACGCCGCGCGGGCGGGGCGCCGCCGCCGCGCGCGCGGCGGCGCCCGCTGCCGCGCGCGCCAGCGCGTCGCATGGTGCACCGATCGCCCTGATCCATCACAACGCCCACAACTAATCATCGACGGCCACTTATAAAATCTGCATTCTAGGCCGCAGCATGGGACGCTGCATCGCCCCATGCTAGATTTGCAGTCGGGCGGCGGCCCGCGGGCGACGCGCGCGCGCCGCCCGCCGCCCGCCGACGGCTGCGCGCGCAGCGTTGGGCAGTCCCGAGTGCCCCCCCCTCTCAAAAAAAAGCTGCGATGTCGGCCTGGAAACTGAAGCAATGCCTTTGGTGGCGCAGGTCATTGTGCGCGCGTTCTCGGACGGCGCGCGGCGGCGAGCGGCGGTCGGCGAGCGCGCGCGCGCGCCGCGTGGAATTCCTGCTTGTCCACAGTGCGAAAGCAGCCATGTTGGCCTGGAAACTAACATGGAACCATTGCGGCGACGGATTAGGTTCAAGTTAGCATGCCGCGGCGCATGTCTTTTTTGATGGCGCGCGGAAAATGGGCGGCGGTCGACGGGCCGCGGTCGACGAACTGCGCGCGCGCGCCGCCCGCCGCCCGCCGCGCGCGCGCCGCGTGGAGAATTCTCGAGCATCCGCAATAGAAAAGCAACCATGTTGGCTCGGATATTGAAGTGAGCCGTTATAGCGGCGACCGATGCATTTGCAGGTTCACACGGGCCCCGTAACATTTTCCCCCCACGACGCGCGGAAGGCGGGCGGCAAGCGGTGGGCTGCCCGCGGGGAATTTCTGTTTTTTTGTTCTAAAATAAGGAAGCCGCCATGTTGCCTTAAGGAACCTTCAGATGCCTTAGCGGCGAACGATTATATGTCCAGATTCACATGGGTCCTGGATTGCGTTTTCCCTGCCATGTTGCCTTGGCAGCTAAATTGAACCCATCGGCGACCGATTCGATTTCCAAATTAACATCGGTCCTGCTGCACGTATTCTCTGAGGGTGCGCGCAGGGCGGGCGGCGGGCGGCGAACGACGAGCGCGCGCGCCACGCGGGGAGTTCCTGATTTCTTAAGAGCAGCCATGATAACCGAACAACTGAAGTGAACCTTTAGCGGCGACCGATTACATTTCCGAATTAACATGTATCCTGGCGCGGGCCCGCGCGGTCCTGGGTTTCCAAATTACCACGCATCCAATCTATAACCGTAAAGAGCGGCCCCATTTGCCAACGCGGCGACTTTCGTCATATGGCATGGTGACGGACACGCGTCGCGATCACGACGATGACGATGACGATGCACATCTCGGATAACTCAACGAAACCCATTGTACATACAAGAATTACATGAAATACGCTGCGACAAATGCTAAAATGCACACCGGCCGCGTGGATGGCATGGATGGTGGAGAGAGTGGGGAGCAGGTGGACTTCGCGCACAGGGTGCCGGACATGCAGGTGGTCCACGGCAATGCCCTGGCGAAGGGGAAGGTGGACCAGCCGAACAAAGGGCAGGCAACGATGGGCCAGGGGACCAAACGAATGGGGGGAGGACAGGTGCGATTAAGACGACGCGGAGAAGGCAGACGAACAAAAAACGAGGATTGGGAGAAATGTTCTGCCAGGGGTGTAGATGTGAAGAGGCTGCTCATACATGTGGGGTAGGTTCTACGCGACGTGGGCTGGCCGGTCAGTAGTGTGCGCATTCCGGAGGGGCGTCATTGATCTCTTCAGGGAATTTGCCAAAGCAAGTTTCGCTCCCCACGACTTCAAGGAGCTCCTCGGGAAACCTCGGCGTACGGCCAGCCCTGCCACACAGACGTCCTCATCGGGATGGCTGAGGGCACTGCAGCGCGAGAAGCGGCGAATCACGCGGGCTTGGAGGACGGCCTGCTGGCGAGGATCCTGACCGAGTCCACCAGGAGGAGACACGCGGCCAACAGAGAAACAGCGCAGTCCCCAGCGGGGGTTCCAGCGCGCTCCCCGCCCGCCTCGCGCCGCAGAGTTCGCTGGCAGACCGCTGGGCTCCATGTATGTATGTATGTATGCGTGCAAGCATGCATGCATGCATGTATTTGTATATTATATGTAAATGTACGTATATCTGTATAGATATAGGCGTATGTCTACATAACATGTCTTTCACGCATGCGTATATACATCAAGGTATGTTATATCAAACGCCCCTTCCTGCCGGGGGGGGCCCGCGGCGGCTGGGTGACCGCTGGCGGCACGCGGTTGCAAGAAACAACAGGAACAAGGAAGCCGGAGAGGCTGGGTCAGGACCAGGTCCCCCCAGCAAGCGACGTGGCTGGGGAGATCGAGGCAGTGTCATGATGGAGAGGGCTTGTGCTCCCCGAGGTGCTGGCGACCAGAGAAGAGGAACCTCCCGGAGAAAGGGCGGTCCGAGCTCTTGGATTACATGGTTCGGGCCATGGGGACGGAAACCATGGCACGCATGAGCGTGGACGGTTTGGGTTTCATGCTGAGACGTGCTGCTGGGAAGGTTACCCAGGAAGTTTTCGGTAAGGAGGCTGCGGACAAGGTTCCGACCCGAATATCAGTTCGTTTGGGGTTCCAGAGTGGTGGTGCGACGTCGCAAGGCACCTTTCTGTGATATTGAGCCTCATAGCAGAGGTTCTCAAGTTTTGGCGGCCTTGGTGTCGAGTTCGTTCGTCATTGTCGAGATCACCGCCGTTCACCGTCGAAGGTGTCGTCGGTCGCCGTCGTCGTCGTCGTCCGCCGTCGTCGTTCGTCGTCGGCCGTCGTCGGCCGTCGTGCGCCGTTGTCGTCCACCCACTGGCAGTTTCCCCAGGGGGGTCAGTAGTCGTCGCATGCGTGTGGCGTGGCCGCTCGTTCCCAGACCTCCCCTTGCGAGTGACGATATTCAGCTGCCTTGGTCGTCCGTCGGCATGGGTGCCGTCGGCTCCCGTCGTGGAGCCCCCGTCGTGGCCGCGCCCCCGCAGTGGAGGTGCCCGAGCCCTGCGAGCGCAGTGAGGGCCCGTGCGCTGCCCGCCTCTCGGAACGGCGAGCACCGCGCGGCCGACTCCCCGAAGCTCCCCCCTCCGAGCTGACTCGGGACGCCCCGAAGCTCCCCGAAGCTCCCCCGGCCGACTCCCCGAAGCTCCCCGAAGCTCCCCCGCTCGGTCGCCGAGCCGGCCCACGATCGAGCTCCCTTCGGCAGATCGACGGGCCCAATTTCCACCACGGCAGCGGAAGCCGAGCCCGTTCGGCTGCCCGTTCGGCGGCCGAGCGGGCTCGGCCGCCGCCCCGTGCCGAGAAGAGATCCTTGTGGCTCCCTGGCGTCCTAGGGAGGCCAGTCGAGACAACGGCGACCCTCCTCCCTGGCGTGTGGTGTCCTTTTTCGGGCCTCCTGGAGGCTTCTCGTCGCTACGGCTAGATCCGCATCGACAAACGGGTCAGGATGGACCCCCGGGCGGGGTCCAGAGGTCGGCTTCTCAGCGGATCTGGGTTGGGCGGAAGAGCCGCCGTTGCCTCCATTGGCCCTCCGCCGTGAACGGGCCCTAGCTCTGGCCAGGGGGGGGAAGCGAGAGCCTCCTTGGAGGGCGGCGGGGCGTCTCGGAAGCCCTCGGGCCGTCTGAGAAGCCGTCGCTGCCTTCGGAGAAGTCTTAGAACGCTTCTCGGATGGATAGTGGCCTTTTGAGCCCTCTGAAAAGGCCCGCCCGCCCGATCTTCCCAACACGGTGTCGGAAGCTGGGCCGCTTCAACGGCCGAGCAGGCTCAGACGCCGACGGGGTTCAGGAAGGAACCCTGGGGGGGGCGCATGGCGACGGATTGAGCGCCCCACACCGCAAGCCCCGACCTCTAACGAGTTGTCGGAAATGACGACGGCGGACGGCGATGTGCTTCATTACGTCGGCCAGCTCGGGCTCTAAACAGTGCGTTTCTAGCAACACGCGTTGTGCAATCTACGGGGTGCAATCCACTCTGCTGAACTTGAAGTTGTCAACTCCACTGCTCGCGCAATCATCCCACCCACCCACCTGCAACTTGGTTTGCAAAACCCATGCGGGACCGAGCACAGATATCGCCGCTCCGGGGTCGTCTTGGAGCCCTCGGAGGCGTCTCAAGAGCGCCCCAAGAAGGCCGGAGAAGCAAGACGGCCGACGACGACGACGACGGCGGCGACGACGACGCCGACGTCGACGACGGCGACGAAGACGTCGCCGACGCCGACGACGACGACGAAGACGACGACGTCGCCAACGAAGACGACGACGAGGGAGGAGGGAGGACGACGACGGCGACAACGACGACAACGACGACAACGAGGGAGGAGGGAGGACGGCGACGACGCGAACGACGAACAAGGAGGAAGGACGGCGACGCCGACGACGACAACGACGAGGGAGGAGGGAAGACGACGACGAGACGACGACAACGACGACGACGACGGCGACGAAATAGGAGGGACGACGACGAGACGCCGACGACGGACAACGACGACGACGACGAGGGAGGAGGAGGAAGGACGACCACGGCGACAACGACGACGGAAACGACAGCGACGCCAAAGATGACGACGACGACGACGAACACGAGGAAAGACACAGGACGACGTAGGCGACGACGACGACGACGACGCGGGAGGAGGGAGGACGGCGACGACGACGACTACGACGACGACGACGCCGCAAGAGCGCGCGCGCACGCTTTTGTTGAAAGTCCGTGTTGCGAAACCTTTTGTTTTTGTAGGTTTTTTGGACGCGCAATTTTGAAATCCTTCCAAAACCGATGGGTTTTGAAGGATTTTGGCGTACGCGCGCGACGACGCGCGCGTCAGCGCTTCGTCTCATTTTTTGCAGAGGATTCTCGCGACGGCACACGCGCAAGGGCGTTCGACAGATTTCGACATGCGCGCGCGACGCCCGTTTGGTAGCAGTTTGCAAAAATCTTGAAAAACGCATGGTTTTCTTAGGATTTCGCAAGAGCTCGCGCGTAAGCTTCTTTAGCACATCAGTTTTACGAAACCCTGTGTTTTTGTATGTTCTTGGGAAACTCGATTGCGAAATCCTTCCGGCACCGAAGGTTTTTGAAGGATTTCGGCATGCGCGCGCGACGTCGCGCGCGTGTGCACTTCGTCCCGTTTTTTTTTGCCAGGGATTCGTGAAAAAATGATATGTTAGGACAAAACCTGTCACCGCATTGTGTTTTTTATTTGACAAGGGAACCTCAGGGGGGGGATACCGGCCCCCTCTGGATTAGTGTAAGTTCTTATTTAGGATGGACATGTGGTCATAGTCGTATACGATTTACATACCCGAAAGGGGTAGCGATAACTCCGTGGGGGGGGGTAGAGTCTATTCTGTTTTTAGAGAAGAGAATTTGCGTGGTACAATAGATGTGGTACCATCCACGTAGTGCAATCTATGTGGTGAACTTTTTTTTTTTTACAAACGACTTGACACATCCCATGCTCATGCAAACATCCCACCCACCCACCCGCAACGGGGTTTGCAAAACCCATGCGGTGGCGATTGCGATGAATGTTTGGCGTTGGCTGGTGCATTTCTGCGGCCGCGCCAGCCCTAGCACGTGCGCGCAGCGGCCAGCTAGTTTGGCGCCGCCGACGCGGCCGCGGTGGCGCTGACCGCTGGGCACATCCCAGCGGGCATTTCTCTGCGAGTCGGCGACTTGAGCGGGCGCGGTATCTAGCGATGCTGGTGGCGATGTTGGCACCGACGAAGGCGCGGCCAGTGTGGGCGCCGATGTTGATCACGCCGTCGACGAGAACGGCGTCCTCGCGCCGGGAAGGTTTTGGAAAGAGTTCGACATGCGCGCGCGGCCGACGCGCGAGAGTGGCCCGCACGGTTGTCTTTGACACTGATCGCGCCCGCCCCCCCAGCACGCGCGCATGGGCGCGCGAATGGCGTTGGCATGCGGGGCCAAAGGCCCGTTTGGTAGAACCCCGTGCTTTTATATAAAAGCAGTGGTTTTCGGAAGCATGTGCAAGAGCGCGAGCGTACGCTATTTGGAAAAAACTGATGTTGCGAAATCATGTGTGTTCGCGCGTTTGTCTGACATTCGGCTTGAAACATCGCTGCGAAACCGCAGGTTTTTGACGGCATTCGGCATGCGCGCGCGCACTTCGTCTCTTTTTGTTGCAAAGGATTCGTGCGACGGCGCGCGCGCAAGGGCGTTCGAACGATTTCGAATCTTTTGTTTTCATGTATATATTTTTATAGATGTACAACTATGTACAACCACACATAAAGCACAAGAGCGCGTACGCGCTCTTTTCTGGCATGCCGCATTTGGAAACCAGATGTTTTTCAATTTGATTTTCGGACACTTGAGTTTGCAATCCTTACGCAACCGAAGGTGTTGGAAGGATTTCGGCATGCGCTCGAGACGACGCGTGCGCGTGCACTTCGTTGCACTTGTTGCAATGCGTTCCGGGAAACTCATGACGCTTGATAAACGGGTGCGCGCGCACATTATCTTTGGCAGGGGGTGGCGGGGGGCGATGCTGGCCTGCCTGGGTTTGCGTGCGTTCATGTTTTAGGATGGGCGATGGGGCAGAATCATACGCAAATTGCACCACGAAAAAGGATGTCGATAATCCAGGGGGCGGTGTAATTTATTTTCTGTGTAATGATTTTAAAGAACAAGTTGACGCATCCCATGCTCTTGCGAACCTCCCACCTTCCCACCCGCAAAACCCACTCGGTGGCGATTGCGACGCATGCTTGGCGTTGGCTGGTGCATTTTTGCGGCCGTGCCAACCCAAGCGCGCGCGCAGCGGCCAGCTAGTTGTGGCGCCGCCGACGCGAACGCGATGGCGCTGACCGTTCGGCACATTCTAGCCGACACTTCAGTGCGATTCGTTGCCTTGGGCGGGCGCGGTATCATGGCAACGTCGTCAAAAGTAGACGCAATGATTGCAGCGATACTGGCGACGATGCTGGCTGCGACGACGTGGCAGCCAGTGACGGCGCCGACGCTGATCGCGCCGACGACGATGACGGCGTCTTCGCGTCGGTGATGAAGGTTTTGAAAGGAGTTCGAAATGCACGCGCGGCAGACGCGCTAGAGTGGCCCGCATGGTGGTATTTGATTGTATCTGACACGGATCGTGCCACCCCAGCACGCGCGCAAGGTCGTTCGAACGATTTCGACATGCGCGCGCGAAGCCCTTGTGGTAGCATGTTATTAGATGTCGAAAGACCTGCGGTTTCCTGGAAAACTTGAAGAGCGCGCGCAAGCTTTTTGGGGAAATCCGCGTTATGAAACCTGGTGTCTTTTATATGTTTGTTTGACACCCGGTTTTGACATGATTGCGAAATCAAAGGCTTTGGAGGGATTTCGGCATGCGCGCGCAACGGCGCTCGCGCGTGCACTTCGTTTCATTTGTTGCAAGGGATTATTGCGAACTTATAGTATTTGATAAACGAGCGCGCGCGCATCGTATTTGTTGCAGAGGATGGCGGCGGGGGGGGTCGAAACCGGCCTGGCTGGGATGGCGCGAGCTCATATTTCGGATGGGCGGTGGGGCAGAATCTCATGCAACTTGCCATGCGAAAAGGGGCGTCGATAATCTGGGGGGGGGGGGTAGAGTCCAGCTTCTTTTTGGAAAGGAGAAGTCACCCATGCTCGCAGTGAGTTGTCAGCTCCACTGCTCGCGCAATCATCCCGCCCACCTGCCCGCAACTTGTTTGCAAAACCCATGCGGCGGCGATTGCGATGAATGCTTGGCGTTGGCTGGTGCAGTATCTGCGGCCGCGCTAGCCCGCGCATGTTCGCGCGCGAAACGGCCAGCTTGTTCGGCGCGGCCGGCGCGGCCACGGCGCTGACCGCGGGGTGCTTCCCAGCGGGCCTTTTCAGCGCGAGGCGGCGACTTGGGCGGGCCCGGTATCATGGCAACGACAGCCACGGTAGCCGCGATGATGGTAGTGTAGGGATGTTGGTGGCGATGGTGACGCCGACGACGGAGAGGCTAGTTGCGGCGCCGATGCCGATCGCGCCGAAGACGGCGACGGCGTCTTCGCATCGGCGATGAAGCTATTGGAAGGAGTTCGACATGCGCGCGCTGCCGACGCGCGAGAGTGACCCGCATGGTTGTGTTTCACACGGATCGCCCCCCCCTCCCCACACACACGCACACAGCCCGCGCGCAAGGACGTTCGAATGATTCGACTTGCGGCGCGAGAGCTCCGTTTGGCCTGGTGCTGCAATACATGTTTAATTTTTTTGTCGGGGCGCTGGGTTTTGAAGTCCGTACGACGCCTAAGGAAGGACTTCCGCTTTCGCGCGCGATGATGCGCGCGCGTGCACTTCGTCCTGTTTTTTGGCAAGTAGTTCTTGCGACAACTCGCGCGCAAGAGAGTTCAAGCGATTTCGACACGTGCGCGCGACAGGCACGCTTGGTAGCACGTGACGAACCGATTGAAAAACAAATTTATGTTTTTGTTTTCAAGCAAAGAATTTGCAAGAGCGCGAGCACACGTTTTTTTTGTGGTTTGCGTATTCTTGTTGCGGAGCAACGTGTTTCTATTTATGTTATCGCGGCGCTCGATTTAGAATTCTTTACGAAACCAATGGCCTTTGCAAGATTTCGGCATGCGCGCGCGATGACGCGCGCGTGTGCACTTGTTCCCGTTTGTTGCAATGGATTGTTGGAGCGTCTTGATGTCTAAAAAGCGCGTGTGCGCGCACTGTATTTTTCGCAGAGGATGAGGGGAGGGATTGCCGGTTTGGTTGTGATGATACGGATTCATATTTCGGATGGGCGATGGGGCAGAACCGCATGCACATTGCAATGCGAAAAGGGGTGCTTTTAAGTCTGGGGGGAGGAGGGGGAATCACGTATCATTCTACGAGAAAAGAGAATTCATGTTTGAAGCTTTGAGTTGTCAGCTCCACTGCTCGCGCAATCATCCCACTCAGCCTCCCGCAACTTGGTTTGCAAACCCATAAGGCAGCGATTGCGATGAATGCTTGGCGTTGGCTGGTGCGTATCTGCGGCCGCGCTAGCCCGCGCATGCTCGCGCGCGAAGCGGCCAGCTTGTTTGGCGCAGCCGGCGCGGCCACGGTGGCGCTGACCGCGGGGTGCTTCCCAGCGGGCAATTTTTGTGCGAGTCGATGACGTGGGCGGGCCCGGTATCATGGCGACGCCGACAATGGTAGACATGATGATGATAGTAGAGTTGAGAATGACGATGATGACGATGGCGACGGCAAGGACAATGACGGCGCCGATGCTGATCACGCCGATGGTGATGATGGTATCTTGGTGTCAGTGATGAAGGTTCTCGGAAGACGGAGCACAACAAACAGACATGCATACCTTTTCTGGCCGCCGTGGGCTTTGAAAATTGGGTATCACAGGATGGTGTTCGTGGCAATCTGTATGGTTTTCGCAAAGGCGTTGTTCCGATGACGACGTCGTAAGCCTTTTTCGGGGGATCGCCAGTCGATTCCGTGGGCCCCAGCCGGCCCCGCCCCTGCCGACGATGCCAATGCATTCTGGGGGCAATGTCGGTGTATACCCCAAACCCCATCAGGAAACACGAGTACGCGTGTACACCGAATTAGTGTAGGCACCAATCACGCCAGATTGGTGTGTACACGCCACCCAGTAAACAACGAGTGTCGGTATCCACCCGACGTTGTATACACCAATCACCTGGGCTGGGCTTCGCCGCCGGAGGCGAGGGCGGTTGGGGCCCGCGGCATCCAACCCATTCTTTGTGGGCGAGTCGCAGCGAGCTTGCGTATGTGAGTCTGCGCGCGCGCAGGCACGCGCATGCATTCACGTTGGGTGGTGAAGACGATGAGGTTGCCAAATTCAACCGGAGCTCGAACATGTATTTGTATGGTTGTTGTCTTCCGGAAGAAATTCGACATGCGCGCGCCGCCGACGCGCGCGAGTGGTCCGCATGGTAATTTGGCAGGGATCGTACCCCCCCAGCACGCGCGCAAAAACGTGCGAACGATTTCGACATGCGGCGCGAGAGGCCCGTTTGGTCGAATCAGTTGAAGGTGTTGAAAAACGAGTGGTTCTCATGAGAATTCGCAAGGGCGCGCACAGACCTTTCTTTGGCAATTGATGTTGCAAAAGCCATGTGCTTTTACATGTGTTCGGAACTTTCGGTTGTGAAGGCCGTGCTAAGCCGACGGTTTCTGATGGATTCCGGCATGCGCTCGCGTTTGCAATTCGTCCCGTTTGTTGCGCATGGTTCTTGCGAGAGCGTGCGCGCGAGGGCGTTCGGGTGGTTTCGGCACGCGCGCGCGACGGGCACGTTTGGTAGCAAGTGATGAACATGTGGAAAATTCGGCGCTTTTTTCCTACAGGCATTCGCGAGAGCGCGAACGCAAACTTTATCGAACATTCCGGTTGCGAGACATTTGATTGTTTACATGTCTTCGGTACTCGATTTTGAATTCCCTACGGGACTTCAGGTTGTTGAGGCATTTCGGTACGCGCGCGCGCGACGACGCGCTCGTGTGCACTTCGTCCTTTCTTTTGCCAGGGATTTTAGAAAACTGATGGATTTTGATAAGCGAGTGCGCGCACGGTGTTTTTCGCAGAGGATGAGGGTGTGGGGCGATAGTGGATTGTCAGGGATGGCACGAATGCGTGTTCAGGATGGACGATTGGGCAAAACCAAGTGCAAATCGTAATACGAAAAAGGCGGACCATCAACTCGGGAGGGTGGAGATCCTCATATTCTTCTAGAAACGAGAATGTGGCGCAGTCCTTGTCGCGGCGACGAGGTGGCGACTGCGAGCACAGGTCCACCAAAGCAACATCCAGGCCAGACGACGGGCGGCGACGAAGGGGCAACGGGACAGCGACGGCAAACATGTGGTCGCCAAGCCAACACCCAGGTCCAGACGACGGGCGGCGACGAGGCGACGATTGGGCGGCAACGGCCAAACCAACACATATATATATATATATACATATATATATATACACATATATATATATATATATATATATATATATATATATGGGGAGGGGGTCCTGGACCGGGGGGGCCCCACTTTGCCGAGTGGCTGTGGTCCCCCCCCCACCAGAGGCGCCAGGACGCTCCCAGGACCGCCTAAAATGGCTCCAGGACGCCCTCAGGACAGCCCAAGAGAGGTCCGAGACGGCCTGGGAGCACTCCACGACCGCTCCAGATGGCTCCAAGATCGGCCAAAGAGCTTCCCAAGCGTCCCAGTAGGCCTCCGACAGCACCCCCGGGAAGGGCCGAAGAGAGAAACATTATTTTTTCTGTGGTTTTTGAAGGGTTTTAGCGTTCTCCCCAGCTTGGTTTCCCGAGTAGGCCGGGGGAGGGCCCAGACTTGCCACCTCTGGTTTACATGGGGGGCTGGGGGGGGGGGCCTTGAGGGCTCCAAGAGGGTTCAGAAGGGGCCCCGGACCCCCCCAGAGACTCCCAAGAGGCGCCCAAAGCGCCCCAGGTTGTCTGGAAGGTGGCGTCCGGACGGGCAACGAGCGCTCGAAGACAGCCCAAGACTGCTCCTAGACGGCCACAAATGCTCTCAAGACGGTCCAAGAGGCCGCCGAGAAGGCCTTCCAAGGGCAAAATCAAGCATTCCCTCTGAAAAAACCATATATTTCCTGGATGTTTGCTTTTCAGTCCTACAATGCTTCCAAAAGGCTCTTCCAGTAGGCACCCGTGTACCGGGTGCTCTGAGAGAAGAGAAGAGAAGAGAGGAGGAGGACAAGGAGGAGGAGGAGGAGGAGGAGGAGGAGGAGCAGAAGGAGGAGGATGAGGATTGTTGTGATGGTGATGGTGAAGGTGAAACTGACGATGACGATGAAGATGACGGAAATGAGGATGACAATGATGACGATGATCATGACCCTAGCTAGAAATTGAGCGCGCGCGATGCGCGTGATGGTTCTAGTATATATAGATATACACACATATAGATCGATAAATGTATGTATGTATGTGTGTGTGCTTGACGCAATCTATGTAGTGAGCGATCAAAAGAGCACGCCGCAGGCGCGAAACAAGCGTCGCAAATGTGGTGCAGTTGCTGTAGGTGTGCAACATATGCTGTGCAGTTTATACATATATATGTATATATATGTGTATATATATGCATATATGTATGTATACGTTGTGCCATATACCTGGTTGTGCAACATACGTTACGAAATCTATGTCGTGAGCGATCAAAAAGTGCGCGGCAGGCGCGAATTTGTGTTAATACAATATATGTGGTGCAATCCAACGGCGGTGACGAGGCAGCGACGAGGCGGCGACGGCGACCACATAGCCGCAAGACCGCCCAGCGGCTCAGATGACGGGCGGCGACGAGGCGGCGACGGGGCGGCGACGGCGACCATATAGCCGCCAGGCCGCCCAACTGGCCCAGCTTCTTAGGACAAGTACGAACCTCTAATTGCAAGCACTGTTAGGGGAATGTGGGGCGTTCCAGAAACGGCCTCGCCTTCGAGGATAGAAGTGGTTGGCGTCTCTTCTTCGGCGGAAGGCGGCGGGAGTAGAGGATGCGTCCCCGAGAGGTGACAATGTTTTTGGATTCAGGTTCTGCAGAGTCGGCCATCTGTCTAGCATCCATGGGCTGTTTCTAGGCCTTCCGGGACCGTCAAAGAAGGACCCGGGGGCGAACGACACGTCCCCGAGGGCGGGGTCAAGAGTTCTTGGGACCCCGCTCGGTGTGTGGAGGGCAGATTTATCGCCGCCCTGATCCTCCTATCGCGGAATCGGCTGGAACGGTTTTGCAGTGCAGACTGCTTGGAGGTGGCGGCAGCCGGCATCGTGGTGCTCGCTCCAAGGCAGACTTGCCCTTCGTCGCAACAGTCTTGTAGGCATCGGTAGGTTATTGTTTGAATATTTGAAGGGCGGACTCGTGTCCATTCCGACCAGCGCATCTCAACAGGGGACCCCAGACAGGGGGCCTTCGGAGAGACCGTGGACCGACGTGTCCATTGTTCTCCTGCTCCTGCATTCTCCGCAGCTCCTCATCCTTTCCTTCTCCTATCCGTTTGCCTGTCCCCCTTACAGTCGATACATGTCATGTTGCCTCGGCGGCGACCCCGCCGCCGGCGATCAAGGTTGAAGGATCCACTCGGTGTCAGAGACCAAAGCCGCGGTCGTCACCACACGAAATTGCCGTACCCTCCGACTCTTCCGTGGCCCACATCACGCTGACCTCACCTCATACTGTCTTGTTCCTGCCCCCCTGAAATCCGATTGGAATTATACCTCATCCGGATCGACCCGTGAGGGCCCCGGGGCCCAAAATTGGGCGACGGCGCCCGGTGTTAAGCAACTGCAGCGCCCAGCTCTCGGGTTCTCCCCTCCTCGTCTTCGCCCCGTTGGATCGCCGCCAGAGGCGCGCCGGTGCCCTCGGGCAACGGCGCTCGGAGGCGCCTCGCTCCGCCCTCGGAAGGGGTGTGGACCTCGAGTTGTTGCCGCTCGTCGGTGGCCAAGCACGGCGACCTGCACAGGCGTGAGTGGCGCTCGAGGGAAAGAGGGCGCACTGTTCCCGGTTCTCCGACGTCTCTGCTGGGTTGTCCTTCGCAGGGCTCCCTGGGTTTTTGTTGAGCCTTGGCCTCCTCCATTTCCTCGTGAGCCCTCTCTCCTTTCCTCCTGTCCCTCCCTTTCTTCTCACAGCGTTTCTTTCCAAGGTTTTGGATTTTGGTTCGGGTCTTCTTGGAATTTCTTCTCCTCCCCCTCCTCCTCCTCCTCCTCCTCCTCCTCCTCCTCCTCCACCACCCCTCGCAGTTCTCCGACGACTCGGTACATCTATCGCACGGTAAGAAGCGAATACAAATTGCCACGGCGTTTTCCTCATCACGCTTCTAAGACTTGCCGCGGGTGTGCCTCCTTGTGCTCGTTTCTCAGCCCTCCTGAGGGACAGCAGATTTCTCGATCTGCATTTCCTGGTTGTTCTCCTGGAAAAGTGTTCCGACGACTCGATATTCTTGTTAGGTGTTCGATATTGTACCCCATGCTTGAGCAACACCTAGCGACATAAACATACACATCCGGAGGTCCGCACGGATTTCTTGGGTCGGCGCCTGGGCACCCTGGCGGCGCCTCCATCGCCGCCCCTGGCGCGCTCCGCGTGCCGGGGATGATGGCCAAACGCCGATCCAAGAAATCCGCGCGGACCTCCGAAAGTTCATGTTTCTCCCACTTGTTGTTCTTCGATGAACGCAGCCACTGGGCGTTCGCGCCGAAGACCGTCAGAACACTGCCAAAGATCCCCCAATACCGCCAGAAAACGACATGGGTACGGAAAAAAGGGTACAGTGCCCAACAGCAAATTTTGTCCCAAGCCAACAGCGTGCGCTGTTGGGCAGGCGGCCTTCTGTTTCAAATGGACACAGGCCGCGGCGACACCGACAGCGAGTCCTGCCAAAATGAACAAGAACTGCTGTCGGTTTTTGTGCCCCTTCTTTCCGTATCCTGTTCGATCGCGAGGGGACTTTGGGGGGGCTTGTTGCCCCATCCCCGCCTCCGCCGCGCGTCTTCGGGTGGGGGCAGCGCCCCTCGCGCTTCTCGGGGGCCCGCTGGGGGGGCGGGCCTTGGCCCGGTCCCTCTCCCCTCCTCCTCCTCCTCCCCTCCTGGCATTCTGAAGCGCCCCCCTCTCCCCACACAGTTCCACACATCCCCACCTCTCCGCCCCTCCCCCACCCCCCTACCTGCGTCGCTTCAAGAGATCCATCGGGGCCGCCACCGCAAGCTCAACGCGGTTGCGGTGATCACCTTCTCACCAGGTGGCGAGATTCAGTGAGACACTTGCTCTGTGTCTGCAACTCGTTCCCCCACTTGCAGTTGCATATCCGAATCGATCGATCCAGCTCGATTTCGAGTTAGCCGGACTCAATAATCCGTTTCGACTTCGATTTTCCAGGTACCCGATGCGGCCCGATGCTTGCAAGGCATAGTTATGCATCCTGGCGCAGGCGATCCGTTTTGATCTCGGCTCCGAGCCGAGGGAGCCCGACTCCATGATCGTTCCGACCCGACCCGATTTCGCGATTCGATGTTGGCTGATCTTGCCTCATTCTTCCCACCCCAGGCTCCCTCCGCATCCGCCCCCACCCCAACGTTCGCTACCATCGGGGTGCGTTTTTGCAGCCTCTGCGGGGTTATTGCTGCAAAGCAGTTGCGTTCCTTCGGAGTGTCCTGCAAGAGCAGGTTGGCGCTGACCGAGGCGCGCAGAGAGTATCTCGATCGGAGTGCGGCTGGCCTGCAGCCCAAAGTCCTGAGCCAGGCCGAGCAGAAGGCGAGGCGTTCGAGAGCGAAGCTCCAAGGGCCCGCAGTGCGCCACTTGCATTCCGCAGCGGGCTCCACCCCTTCCCACCCCCTGCTTCCCCCCCCGCTTCCCCCCCGCTCCCCCCCCCCCGCCGGGCTCGAGTTTCAAGCTCTCGCTGCCCCGGAGGCGGCGGCGCTCGCGCTAGCGCGGCGCTCGCCGGACCCCCGAGGGGGAGGCGCGGGAGCACCGACCATCCCGCGCGCGCTCGCGGAGGCGGCGACCACGGGGGGAGGAGGGGCAGGCCTGCGGAGGAGGAGGAGGAGGAGAGACGAGAGAGAGGAGACAGAGAAGAGAGGCAAGCTAGGCGCGCTCGCGCCATATCTGACATCCTATCCCTCCAAATGCGCTCATGTTTTCTCTACATCCGCGGACGCGTGTCATAGCCGACCCAGAACTACAAATATTATATCGTGTTATGCGCAGCTGGAGGAGGGGAGCTGCACACATGGTTGGGAGAGGAGGAGGAGGAGGAGGAGGAGGAGGAGGAGGAGGAGGAGGTGTCGGGTGAGCAGGAGGATGAGCAGGAGGAAAAGAGGGAGGACGAGGAAGGTCGATGGTGAGTTCCTCGCAGATGGTGAGCCCCTCGCTGATGGTGAGCAGGAAGAAAGGAGCCAGGAGAGCGAGGGGGAGTATGCGGAGGATCGAGGATTCAGGATTTTGCCAGCTCAGGTGCCGTCTGGGCCCCTCGGGGAGGCGCTCGTGGCCGCTCCCTGCTTCCCAGGCCCGGCCAGCTCCCTTTGTTCTCTTCCGCGGTCTTCTACACGAGATTGCTATTCTCATCCTCTTGCGCGTAGCGGTCGCTGCCCGGGCCAAACTACCCTTTCCCTCCCCCCCTAGGTAACAGTAGTGATATCGCACGAAAAGGTTGTGGGAGGCTTGAGCCTCCCCCTCATGTTGGTGCCCGCGCGCATATCCTGTGGCAATCGCAGCGCACCTCCGCTCCGACGTGCCCAACATCACCCAAGCGTTACCGTTACCCCCCCCCCCAGGTAACGACCAGTACCAGCAAAAAGCAAAACAAAAATCCATATTTGATGCGGACTCGACGCTGATTCGACGTGGATTCGACGCGGACTCGACGTGGAGTCGTAGATTCGACGCGGAAGCGGCGCGATGGGACAGACAAGGTCCCCAGACGATGCAACATAGCATCCTTTCCCCACGGCTCATCCTCCCACGCCTCATCTGCCCCCTCATCCTCCGGCTCCCCGCATATCATCATTCGGATGCAACTCTTGGGAGGTCAAATTCTCATTTTGTCCTGGTCCGAAATACGGCTTAATCCCGCTCGTTCTGGTTTAATCCCGGTTAATCTGGCTAAATCCCGCTTAATCCGCGGCCTAATCTGCCCTAACAGCTCCCCAATGGGGCTTGGCTTAATTTTCCTGAACCCTATCGACGAAGACCTCCCAGTAGTTGCCTCCTGAGCATCACAACCTCCGGCAGTACCGCCTACCACCACCCTCCCTCCGAACCTTTCAGAGCCTCCCTAACCCCTCCCTCCTCTTCTCCCTCCCTCCTCCCTCCTCCGCCCAAGGAGGACGAGGAGGAGGATTCACCAGGAGGGGGAGGGGGGGAGGCCGGCGACGACGACGACGGGCTGGTGAGACTGGCAGGCAAGACGCTGGGATGGATTTCAACAGCGTCTGCGGACCGGCCGTCCAGTGCGTGAGGACGCGGGCGCGGCATCTCCTCTACCGTCACGGCCGCGATCCTCCGCCACGTGCATTCCTCCCCTCGTCGTCGTCAGGCATCTCACGCCCACGAGGCGGAGCTGTTTGACCAGAAGAGCCCTGGTGTGTTTCGGTGATCGGTCCGATCCGGGTCTATTCTGGTCGCCGTCGGGCACGCCCACTCGTTCTCCGCCTCCTGCACCTCTTTCCCCTCCTCGTCCGCCGCGCGGTCCTCATCGCTCTCCTGTTGCCTTTCCGACGTCCTCCTCCAGATGTTCGCCGTTTCTTTGGCTTTACGAAAGGCAGCATTGACATAATTGCTCAGCGAGTCAAGCCACTACTGGGTCCTAGTCAGGACTACATGTTGTACGCAAGGTCGGCTTCCTGGCAGCATCTGCCTTTCCTACCACCAAGCCCCAGCACCCCTCTCTAAACCTCTGCTATACTTTGTGCATATTTGGTGCACTGGCAGTTTGGAACTTAATTCCCTTATCAGGTTCAAGTGATTTCGCATCGTCTCTGCGCCATCAGCGCCAACGGCTCGGAAGCGATCATGTCTGTCGTTCGGCCGTGCGCGCGCACCATAGCCCCTCCATGTTCAGATTCCAACGTCAGCCAACGCCGTAGGCCGCCAATGGTACGCGCCTTGAAGTCCAGCGAGGCTACCTGCAGGCGCTCGAGCTGGCTCCAGCTGGGCACGTCGTGTCAGTTTGCTGGCTTGGTACCTGAGTCCCTCGTCGCTGCGGCGCCAGAGATGCCAGGCGCACTGCCAGGAAGCCGGGTGCGTGCACAACGACTTGTTTGGCCTGGGTGGGGGGGGCTTCACAACATGTGGCCAGATGTTTTCCAGCGATCGCCGTTCCTGTGGCCAAGCGCAGGTGCCCCATAGCAAAAAGTACGCCAGACGCTGTAGATGCGCGTGGCTTCTGAATCATCCCGAAGCGGATTCGACCATGTGCTTATCCAGGCTCCTGGCCGCTCTGGGCACTGATCATACAGTGCCAGCTGGCAGCGCCTTGAGGAGTCCACGTCAAAGTCTGCGTGTCAACGCGTAAATACCCGTTCGAGTTAGGGTGAGGAGTCGACCTCCTGAGTCACGTATTGGTCACGACGCGAGGATATGGTTGGATGGTGTGCTGTGCTCCTCGAGGAGCATCTTCGCCGAAAACCGGGCGAAAACGCCCAGATCTTAGCGATCGATGGCGGGGCGGTCATCGCGCTTGCAGGAAAATGTGTGTAGGACTTTTTGACTCGCTGCGCTTTCCTTCATTTCGGCCCCTGGGGGGCGCTCTCGGGTCCAGGGGCCATCACGAATGTATCGAGGGCGCAAAGTTACAGTCAGGTCGCATTGCAAGGACCAAGGCCACCTTGCATCCTTGCCCCTTCGGCCCGTCCTTGGCAACTTTCGCTGGCCAGCCCCGTTCGAAAAACGTTAACATGGCCTTCCAAGGCCCTTGCATCCTTACCGCGCATCCTCATCATGCAACTTGATTGTATCGCCGAAAACTTAAAGACCATTTCCTATGGCACCGCCGACAACGACGACGCCGCTCGCGACGGTGACGACGTCGACGACGACGACCGACCAGCACGCCCGTGAGAAGAACTACACGTTCTGACCGCCTCCCTCTTCTCCGCCCCTCCAGTCCTCCCGCGCTTTCGTGCCTCAACTCGCGTCGGTGCGCCCCGCCGCTTGCTCGACCGAAGCCTGCTCGCTTGCGCCCGCGGGCCGAAAGTGTACCCCAGGGGCGGGTCAGGCCTCAGGCCAGTGCCCAAGCGCGGGGGGGAGGCCGCCCTGACTGCCCACGATCCCCGAGGCCTGGACGTTGCGATGCTTCACCACGGGCGGTTTGTCGCCCATCCTCAGGCCCTGGGGCCATACCGGACCGATCCAGCTCTGACAATCGGGGGTTCCTAAAGTGCCCCTAGCCCAGGGTGCCCGCAGCGTTTCGTTCTATTCTGGATCTCCTGGGGCCCTCTGGGTCTCGTAGGGGGGATGCTCTGGAGGCCGTGGGGGCCTCCTCGGAAATCCTGGGGGCACCTTGGGCCAGGGGCGCTTCTAGCAACACCCGAAAAACGCCGCAGAAGGATGGTGTCAGGGGCTCCGGCCAGGATTTCTCGCGATGTTGCAAGTTTTCCGTGACGCCGGATCTCTCTCTAAGCTGGAGTAGTGGGGTTAGCATTGATGGGGGTGTCGGATATAGGTGCAATATGTACCTGCAGTAGTTTCTGTATGCGCGCACGGGTCCACGGCCTGGACGCAATAGATGCGCGTGGATGCAATAGATGCGCGTGGATGCAATCGTGTACTCTCTCAAGCGCACTAGTTGACGCGCCTTGCAGTTGCTGGTGCCCCCCAGCAAGAGTTCGCGCAAGAGTTCGCGCAACCGAACTATGGCACCTCCCACCGCCCCCCCATCCCAGACCCACGACGTCATGCTTTTGTCGCAACGTCGACCCCAGAGGTCTCGACCATCCCCCCCGGGACCGGTGTTTCATCCCGAGCCGTGTTTTGATGGCCCCGGGGCCCGGTAAGGGCCCCCCCCCCCCACTGCCCCTCGTGTGCGCGCCGCCAGCGGAGGGCGGAGGAGCCGCGGGGCGGCCCCGCCGCGCGGCCCGCGCGCAGGACGCGCCCCAGGAGCGCGGCGTGCGGCTGCGCCGCCGCGGCGGGGGCGCTGCTGCTGGGGCTGAGGCGGGCCGCCCCGCCCGCCTCGGGTGCCCTCGGGAGGAGGGAGGGAGGAGGAGGAAGAGGGGGAGGAGAAGGAGGAGGAGGGAGGGAGGGAGGAGGGGGTGCCTTCGGGAGGGATGGAGGGAGGGAGGGGAGGGGGAGGAGGAGGAGAAGGAAGAGGAGGGAGGAGGAGGAGGAGGAGGAGGAGGAGGAGGAGGAGGAGGAGGAGGAGGAGGAGGAGGAGGAGGAGGAGAGGAGGAGGAGGAGGAGAGGAGGAGGAGGAGGAGGAGGAGGAGGAGGAGGAGGAGGAGGAGGAGGAGGAGGAGGAGGAGGAGGAGGAGGAGGGGACCGCGCCTGAACGACAGCAGGGTCGAGAGATCGAGAGAGGAGGAGGAGGAGGAGGAGGAGGAGGAGGAGGAGGAGGAGGAGGAGGAGGAGGAGGAGGAGGAAGATGGATGGTTGGATGAATGTCGGACCTCCCAGCGAGGTGGCATGTTGAGGCTGCGGGCACAGCCTCTTTGGCAGGGAGCTGGGGAGCCCCTTGGGCGTCCGACAGCAGTCCAGAAACGTTCTTTGGCAGGGAGCTGGGGAGCCCCTTGGGCGTCCGACAGCAGTCCAGAAACGTCGACCCAAGGAGAGGCGTGGCATTCGAAAGGGGGCACAGGGCCGGAGGTGGAGGGCAGGAGGTCCGTAGTGCTAACATGCCGAGATGTGCACGCGACCACCAGGAAGGCAAACGCAGAGAGGGGTCCTCGAACGCGGCCCTCCGGCAGGAATCCTCGACCCCTCCTGCTTCCGCCCCGCGCCAACACACGGCGTGCGCGAGAGCCCCCTGGGGCAGAGCTCAGCGCCTGGCCCCGCCCAGACCCAGCCCTCCCAGCACCACCCGGCACGGTCACGCGAGGATTCGGGCTGGAGGGGGGCGGCGGCCTCATCGGCGGAGAGGCTGGGCAGGCAGGCCCGGCCTCGGAACCCGCGGGGGGAGCCAGAGAAGCGGCCGATCCATCCTCCAGGGCTCCCGAGGCCGAAGCACCCCGGCACTGCCAGCGGCAGCCATGTGGGAGCCTTTCCCCAGGGCAGGGTCAGCGCTGGCGCCAACGATGAGCCTCCCGCCCAGCCCAGCTTGCCCAGGGGCCCAGGGAGGGAGCGGGGTATGGGGGGGAGGGAGCGGAGCGCCGAAGCTGAGGGAAGGGGGAGTGACAGATGGAGGGAGGGAAGGGGGGGCAGAACAGGGAGGGAGGGAAGGGAAAGGGGAAGGGGGGAGAGGGAGGAGGGGAGGGAGAGAGAGAGAGGGAGAGAGAGAGAGAGAGAAAGGGGGAGGAGACAAGCTAGGTGCGCTCGCGCCACATCTGACATCCTACCCCTTTTCACCCACCTCTCCCCATTGCGCTAACTATACATATAACGGGGCCGGGTCTGGGGGCTTTCAAGACGACTCCCATGACGCCAAGAAGGCCCCCGAAGGCCCCGAAGAAGCTCCAAGAGGCACCCCGAGAGAGCCCCAATGCAAAAATCGTAGATTTTCGATAGGGAAACTGATGTTTTTGGCGTGTTCGCTTTTGGGCTTCCACTGCGTCCAAGACGGCCCAAGAGGCACCCAAGCCGGTCGAGGATGCCCCCAAGACGGCCCACGAGGGGGCCAAGACGGCCCACGAGGGGGCCAAGACGGCTCACGAGACGCCTAAACCGCCCAAGAACGCCCCAAGTCGGCGCCCAAGACGGGGACGAGGAACCGAAAATGCGAGCCATTTGGCCCAAGAGGCCCCCAGGAGACCCCATGAGGCTCCAAGAAGCGCTCAAGAAGCCCCAAGAGGTCCCCCAGAGACCCGCAAAAAACACAAAAAGAGGCCCCGAACACGCCCCAAGGGGCACCCCAATATAGCCCCAATAAGCAAATATTTTCGATTTCCTATAGGATAACTGCTGTTTTTGGCGTGTTCGCCCCCTGGGCCCCCACTGCGTCCAAGACGGCCCAAGAGGCACCCAAGCCAGTCAAGGATGCCCTCAAGAGGGTTCCAAGACGGCCCACGAGGGGGCCAAGACGGCCCCCGAGGCGCCCAAACCACCCAAGAACGCCCCAAGTCGGCGCCCAAGACGGGAACGAGGAACCGAAGATTCTAACGTTTTGGCCCAAGAGGCCCCTATGAGACCCCAAGAGGCTCCAAGAAGCGCTCAAGAAGCCCCAAGAGGCCACCAAGAGACCCGAAAAACACACGAAAATAGGCCCCGAAACAGCCCCCCAATGGGCCCCCAAAAACGACCCAAGAGAGCCCCCGGGCGCGCCCAAGAGGGTCGACCAGAGAGCTGGTCCGACTTTCCACACTCTATACAGGGTCCGTCCCCGGCGGTGCCTCAAGCAGGTGTTGCCACTGGGGTCCTCACTTGCCTGAGACAAACTCCAACAAAAACAATCGCACAGCGATTCCTGTGTCTGTGACACGCTAGAACCTAAGCGCGCGCGAAGCGCAAGCGTGGTTCTAGTTTTCTGTATCCGCGGACGCGTGCACTGGCGCACCTTGAATTCTAACAAGGACTCCATCGTCTTATGAGCAAGCGGTAAATTGGAGCTGCGTACATGGGAGGAGGATGAAGTGTGGATGAACAGGAGGATGAGCAGGAGGAACATGAGGAAGAGGAAGAAAAGGACGAGGGCGAACAGCAGCAGGAATTGGAGTGGAAGGGGCGGGAGGAGCAGGAGGTCCAGGGGAAGGGGGGGAAGGGAAAGGAGGTGGGCGACAATGATGAGGAACAATTCGGGTCCAGAAAAGTGGCCGCGCCGGGCCGAGAACGCCATTCTTCTGAACGACGGGAGCAGAGCCCCGATTCTCAAATGTGGCCCACGCTGCAGCCGGAGCAGCATTTGGGAAGGGCCAGAAACGCTCGGATTGGAAGAACACGCTAGAAAAACCAACTCGCCCATACCATGTGTTGATAGCCAGGGCACGGATTGGGGGCGAACGCTCAGCACATGGGTATCATGGCCAGGGTCACGGATTCTCCAAGCTTCCACGCTCCCATGGTTTTTTTTTGGTCCCCCCCTGCCCCCCCCTCGTCCGCGCACGTGCATTGGGATTGCGACTGGCTGGCCCACCTCCCGCGCGCATTCAGCTTCAGCTCCCTCGAGTACACCGAGGTGGGCCTGAACCTGTCCCATATCACAAACAACGTCTCGCCGCAAGGCCACGGGCAGCGACACCGCCGATTACGACAACGACGATCGGGCCGGACGAAAGGGAGGGGGGCATAGGGAAAGGGGGGCTGTCGGAAGGGGGCTAGGACAAGAGTAAATCCGTTCCAGAGCGCTCCAGAACGCTCTCAGAGAGTTCTGGAACGCTTTGAGAAGGCCACGGCGCCCCATGCATCCTCATGAGCCGCTGGATCTCAGAGTTTCTCGATTTCTCCTCACCCGAATCTATCTTCGTCCTGGCTTCGTCTTAGGTTGCGCACTCTCCTGCATACAGGTGGTTTCAGCCCCACCGCCAGGCGTTTTCCTTGATGCAGTGGCGCCTCCGGCGCAGGGAGCCGCCCCGCGAAGCAGTTGTACGTGAGCTGGTTCGCCAACCCGCCTGTGGACAAAACTTCCCCTTTTCGTCCGACCCGAGGTGAGGACGATGGCGGCGCCTGAAGACTCTTTTTGCTTAGGGCCCGGCGATAGACCGGGTTATCGGGCCCGCCTGCCCCCCCCCCGCTACTCCCCCCCCTTCAGCTGACCTGACCTTGTCGGTTGCGTAAGTCCGAAGGGGGTACGCAGTGCTGGTGCGCGCGGGCACACGTGGGGCTGCCCAAAGCGAAAAGACTACGTTGTCGGCCTGCACCTCCCCCCGCCCCCACCCCACCATCCGGATAGCCCGCGGGCGATCGCCGAATTATCAACAGCGATCTCCTACGACACCGCCGACAACGACGACGCCCGTTGCGACGACGACAACGACGAGGCCGACTGCGACGCTGCAGGCCTGTCCCGCGCCACGAGCGCTGATCTGGACGCCGCACTGGGGGGTTGGCAGCCGAGCGACGACCACGATGACGTCGACGACGGCGGTGATATCGCGACGACGACGACGTCACGACGTCGATGCCGACGAAGATCTCACGACGTCGAAGTTGGCGAAAATCGAAGAAGGCAAAACGGCATACACAGAAACTGTCGACGCTGCGCGGATTTCTTGGATTTGCGCTGGACCCCCCGGGCGCAACCCTTGGCGCGCTCCTCGCGCCAGGAAGGGGGCTCCAGCGCAGATCCAAGACGTCCGCGCGGACCGGTGAAAGTATATGTTCATGCTGTTTTTTCTTCGTCGGCGACATGGACAAGGACGAAGACGCAGTCGACGACGAAGAAGGTGGCGGCGACGACGTTCTGGGGTGCTTCTCTCGTGCGTCAGTTTTGTGGGGCCTCGGGAGGCGACCTCCTGCGATTCCCGATCCACCCTCGTCCGAATTTGTCCTCATTCTGCCACCGTCTTAGCAGTCTGAGCGCTGGCAGCGCTCGCAGATCGGGGAGTGCTAAAGGTGCCTCTGGCCCAAGATGCCCCCTGCTTTCCGCTCGACTTTGGAGCGTCTGGGGCCCCCTGGGCCTCGTGAGGTGCTCTGGAGGTTGTGGGGGCATCCATGGAAATCCTGGGGGCATCTTGGGCCAGGGGCACTTCTGGCAACGCCCGACCAGGTGGGCCCCCTATCAGATCAGGCCGATCAGCCCAGACCTCCGCCATCTTGTGTCTTTTGTTGTGTCAACAAAGCCACCTGGGATGAAAACACTGTCTCCCGGAAGAGGACGAGATTTTGGGCGAGAATTGCCGAAGTCACCCCGTCCCTGGTGGGTCCGGTAGTTCTGCTCTCGTCAGTGCCGGGAATTTCTGCTCTCGTCAGTGGTGGCGGTGGGAGAGGAAGTCGGGTGTTGCTAGAAGTGCCCCTGGCCCAAGGTGCCCCCAGGATTTCCAAGGAGGCCTTCATGGCCTCCAGAGCACCCCTCACGAGTCCCAGGGGGCCCCAGGGGCTCCAAAATTCAGCGAGGGGCTGAGGGCACCTTGGGCCAGGGGCGCACCACCCGAGAGAGGAAGAGGCATCTCCGGCTCTGCTGCCAGCCCCCGAGAGAGAGGCCCAGACCTTGGACACCGTGACATTTTTACGCCGTCGGCCCCGGAGTTCTGTGCCACATCCCCGGGGCGGCGGAGTGAATCGGCGGCAGGGGGTGGACGACGGCGGGAGGGTTGCAAGGGGGTGAGGGGCATGGGGGGGGGTAAGCGTGTGAGCGGATTGTGGAGCGAGAGGAAGAGGAAGAGAGAGAGAAAGAGAGAGAGAGAGAGAGAGCGAGAGAGCAACATATATACATACCTATACGACCACCCTTCGGGTGATAAGGAGGTTGTGGGGGGGGGAGAAGGGGGGGAGCCAACATCTGATTCAATCGATCTCACTATCGATCTCACTCAACGGGACACCACGGGACACCACGAGACACTTGTCGATCTCATTATCGATCTCACTATCGACCTCACTCAACGGGACACCACGGGAAACCACGGGACACCAGAAGACACCACGGGACACCGCGGGACACCACATCGATCTCACTACCAGTCACACTCTCGATCTCACCATCGATCTCATTCAACGGGACACCATAGGACACCACGGGACACCACATCGATGTCACTATCGACGGTATCGATCTCACTATCGATCTCACTCAACGGGACACCACGGGACACCACGGGACATCACGGGACACCTGTCGATCTCACGATCGATCTCACTATCGATCTCACTCAACGGGACACCACGGGCCACCACGGGACACCACGGGACACCACGGGACACCGCTACGGCCACCGCTGGACGGAGGAGAATCATTTGTCTTGATTTCGCCCTAGCAGCGGCGGACACCACGGGACACCGCGGGACACCGCTAGGGCCACCGCCAGACGGAGGATAATCATTTGTCTTGATTTCGCCCTAGCAACGGCGGACACCACGGGACACCGCGGGACACCGCTGGGGCCACCGCCAGACGGACGGAGGATAATCATTTGTTTTGACTTCGCCCTTGCAACGGCGGATTCATTCGTCTCGCGCGCCCACGCAGCTTCGCCTCGCCCTCACGCACGACACGAACGAAACGAGACGATTTCTTGGTTGGGGGTCCGTTCCATTGCGATCTCACCCCCAACCTCACATATACCTAGAGAGAGAGGGAGAGAGAGAGAGAGAGAGAGGTAGAGAGAGAGAGAGAGAGAGCTCGCAACGTTTCGGTTTGCGTAAACAGGAGAAGGCGAGAGAAAGCGCGAGAGAGAGAGAGAGAGAAAGAAGCTCGGCCCTTGGCGTGGCACGGGTGCTCCCCAACGCCGAGTCCGCCTAGTGCCGGCCAGCCAGCGTGGAGCAGTGCGAATTACGGTCGGACGAGGGGCATTCGGGGCAGCCATTGCTCATTCAGGCATTCTGCAGTGGAAGGCCCAGGCCTCTCGCGAACTATCTTGTCCCCAAACAGTGCTTGCACTTAGGACCTTTGTCTTCTAAGGAACTGGACCTGTCTATTGGTCTGGCGGCTAGGTAGCCGCTAACGCCGCCCCGTCGCCGCCTCGTCGACTCCCGTCGTTTGGGCCTGTCTGTCGCTCTGGCGGCTATGTCGCCGCCGTCGCCGCGTCGCCGCCCGTCGTCTGGGCCTGTCTGTCGCTCTGGTGGCTATCTCGCCGCCGACGCCACCCCGTCGCCGCCTCGTCGCCTCCCTAGGTAGCACAAGATTGCACCACGTAGATTGCACCACATACGTTGCACCGCAGATATTGCATCACATAGGTTGCACCGCATACATTACACAACATCTGCTGTACCGCATATTGCACCACGCATATTGCACAACATAGACTGCACCACGTGAAGTGCGCCACATAGATTGTACCACGTATGTCGCACAACATAGATTGCATAACATAGATTGCACCACACATATTGCGCCATCTAGGTTGCACCACATGCACTGCACCACTCTTGTTGCACCATATATTTTCTATGTTCTAAAACAGTAATAGATTGTACCCCCGTTCCGAGGCCAGAGTTAACGGCCCCCCTTCGCGATACGTAATATGCATATGAGTATGACTTTTTGCTGTCAACTTTTCTTATAAACTCATACCATCCCAGCCCAACCGGTATTGACACCCCACGCCGTCCTCTGCACAAAAGTACTATACGCGCGCCCTCGTTTATCAAACAATCAGCAGTTTTCACGAGTCCCTTGCAAAACCTGCGACGAAGTGCGCACGCGCGCGTCGTCGCGCGCGCATGCCGAAATTCTTCAAAACTTCGGGCTTCGTAAGGATTTCAAACGAGTGTCACGAACACTTATACAACATCGTACATAGATGTGCAACAAGGGATTTCAAACAACAAGTTTGTCGTTCAAACGCCCTGACGCGCGTGCTGTCGCAAGAATCCCTTGCAAAAAACGGGACGGGGTGCATACGCGCGCGTCGTCGCGCGCGCGCGTGCCGAAATCATTGAAAACCGAGTGTCTCGAAAACATATGCATATACAAACGCTCGGCTTTGCAACATCAGTTGTCAACACACTCCTGCGTCCGTGCTCTTGCTGATTCCCAAGGAACCCATCGGTTTCCCAGCATTCTCATCAGCATCTGCCACATGGGCCTCTCGCGCCGCATATCGAGCTCATTCGAACGCTCGTGCGCGCGTTCTGGGGGGAGGCACGATCCGTTTCAAACAACACCACGCGGGCCAATCGCGCGCGTCGGCCGCGCGCGCATGTCGAACTCTTCCAACAGCCTGCATTGCCGACGCGAGGAAGTCGTCATCGGTATCGGCGGGCGTGATCAACATCGGCGCCGTCATTGGCCTTGCCATCGTCATCGCCACCTTCGTCACCATCGCTGTTCTCATGATTGTGTCTACTGTTGTCGGCGTCGCCGTGATACCGCGCCCGCTGGGAAGTGCCCAGCGGTCAGCGCCTCCGCGGCCGCGTCGGTCGCGCCAAACTAGCTGGCCGCTGTGCGCGCGAGCATGCGCGGGCTGGCGCGGCCTCAGGTATGCACCAGCCAACGCCAAGCACTCATCGTAATCGCCGCCGCATGGGTTCTGCAAACTAAGCTGCGGGTGGGTGGTGGGATGTTTGCAAGAGCGTGGGATTTGTCAACTCGTTTGCAACAATTCCATTGCACCACGCAGATTGCACAAGAGATATCGCACAACATAGATTGCACAACATAGATTGCACAACAAATATTGCACCACTTATATTGCACCGCGTAGACTGCACCACATACACTGCGCAACACGTATGGTTCGAAATAGTTTGGGGCTCACGCTGAATAACTCGTTGTTCAAAACAGTGGGCCATCACTTCTGTTCTAGGTGGTTGGAAGCCGGGATTTTGCCACGTGCCCGGCCGTTGGCCCCACGTGCGTTGGCTGGATGTGGGCGGGTGCTTCGCCACGTGCCCAGCCGTGGGCGGTTCGTGGACTTGCGCCGCGTAGCTTGCGTGGCCTACGCCACGTTGAAGGCGCAACAGAGCCTGCACCACATAGCGCACACCACCCAGCTTACGCCACATAGCACTACATTGCTTGCACCACGTAGCTTGAACCGCTCATGGTGCACCACATAGATTACACCGCACAGCTTGCACCACACAGGTCGAACAGTATAGCCTTCACCACTTGGCTGGCACCACCGAGCTTACACCACATAGTTTGCACCACACGTGTGCGCTGCAGTGTTTGCACCACACAGCTGGCACCACAAAGCCTACACCGCATGAGTTGCACCACGTAGCTTGTTCATATAGGGTGCAGCAGCTATCTGCTCGGGGCCCACGCTGGCACAGATTGCAATCGCGGCAGTTGTTCGTCAATTTCGTTTCCAGGAGCCTCTTTCGATCCGTGGGGCCATGGGCACAAAACTGTCCTCGGCAGTCGCGGCGTTTCACTGACATCGTCGGACGTCTGGGCCCCAGCCGTTCGGCGCGTCGGTGTGTTCGATGCGTGGGCCTTCAGACCTCTCGGCCCGAGCTGGTTTTCCATCCCGAGCCACTTTTGATACTCAGGTTTTGCCAACGAGGCTCCAATGTGCTTGTGACAGGAACCAGTGGGTGCGACGCCCTTGGTCACTTGAATTATCCCCGAGAGCTCGGGCGTCCGACCCGTCTCGGCCGGGAGGCTACACGGCCGGGCTGTACTGCCTCGGCCCTGGCAACTCGTTCATTAAGCGCCGCGCCTCAGCGGCCCGCGGCGCGTGCGAGGCCTCCCCCCCCCGCGCGCGCGCGCCGCGGGCAGCGGGCGGTCTGGCGCCGAAGGGACCCGAGGGGCTGCGCGGCCGCATCGGCGCGTCGTGTTCCTCCTCCTCCTCGCCTTTCTTGCTCGGCGGCGACGACGCAGGCGGCGGCGACGGCGACGGCGATGGCGACGGAGGACGGCGAGGGAGGACGGAGCGGGTGCTCGGGAGGCTTGGTCGGAGGATGCAATGGGCCAGAGGGGGGGCGGGGGGCCTCTCCGCGGGCTCGGCGCCCGACATCCGACGTCCTCGGGAGATCAGCTGGCGGCCCCTCCCAGGAAAGCGACGAAGCGGTCCGCCCGCCGCCCCCGTGGAGGCTTTCGTGGCGGAGGTTTCGACTCCGTCTCCTTTGGCACAGCGGGGGCGCGCACCGCGGGGCCGACGCGAGGAAGGGGGCCTTCGGAGAAGGCGGGGGGGCCCTCTCTCAAGACGGCAGGGGCCTTTTGAGAAACGCCCGGAGGCTTACAAGTCATGAGTCCACTTGGACGCCCCCAGGCGTTTCTCAAGAGGCCCGTGTCGTCCACGAAGGCCCCCTGCTGGGCTTCTTAGACGGCAGGGGCCTTAGTAGAAGCGCTTGGAGGCTTCTAAGACTTGAGCCCTCGTGGGAGCACCTGCGCACTTCTACGAAGGACTTCTTCGTAGAAGGCCCCCCTCGCGCCACCACATTGTGCGCGCCGCGGCATCACGGCGTATGCTGTTTCGCAGTTTTTGGCCGCTTCGCTGCCCTCACGGGCCCCTGGGGTCAACCATACTCGATGAACACAGTTCCCATATAGACTTCAAATTCGGAGCTCCGCGCGGACGTCCAGATGCGTATGTTTATGAAGTTCTCTGCGCCAGAATGTCGAAATGGAAATGCGGTGAGCGGGGAGCCGCATGTGAACCCTACCATTGGGGCCTTCGATGGAGCTTTCTGTGGAGCCACGAAACGTGTGAAGGGTGTGCCGAAATGGACATGGGGTGGGGGAGGACTCATGCGAAGCTTGCCACTGGTGCCTTGAGTGGGAGCTTTCCATGGAGCCACGAAACGTGTGAGGGGTGTGCCGAAATGGACATGTGGTGGGCAGGGAGACGCATGCGAACCCTTCCACTGGGGCCTTGGGTGGAGATCCCAATGGGGCCACGAAACGTGTGAGGCGTGTGCCGCAACGTACATGCGGTGGGCGTGGAGACGCAAGCGAACCCTGCCAATTGGGCCTTCGGTGCGGCTCCCCATGAGGCCCCGAAGCGTACGAGGGCTGTGCTGACATGGAGATGCGGTGGGCGGTGGGGCGAAAGCGGACCCTGGCATTAGGGCCCTGGGTGGAGTTCCCGACCGAGCCACGGAGCGGGTGACGGGTTTTCCGACATGGACATACGGTGGGCAGGGAGACGCATGCGAACGCTGCCACTGGGGCCTTGGGTGGAGATCCCAATGGGGCCACGAAACGTGTGAGGCGTGTGCCGCAACGTACATGCGGTGGGCGTGGAGACGCAAGCGAACCCTGCCAATTGGGCCTTCGGTGCGGCTCCCCATGAGGCCCCGAAGCGTACGAGGGCTGTGCTGACATGGAGATGCGGTGGGCGGTGGGGCGAAAGCGGACCCTGGCATTAGGGCCCTGGGTGGAGTTCCCGACCGAGCCACGGAGCGGGTGACGGGTTTTCCGACATGGACATACGGTGGGCAGGGAGACGCATGCGAACGCTGCCACTGGGGCCTTGGGTGGAGATCCCTATGGGGCCACGAAGCGTGTGGGGCGTGTGCTTCAACGAACATGCGGTGGTCGGCGAGACGCATGCGAACCCTGCCACTGGGGCCCTCGCTATGGGGCTACCAAACGTGTCATAGGCTTGCCATAATGGGCGGGGGGGACGCATGAATTGGGGCAGTCGGTGGAGATCGTTACGAGGTCACTAAACGCGTGATGGCATGCTGTAATGGACATGCGGAGGGCAGGGGCAAGGATGGAAGGAGAACATGGGAGGAGAGGGAGTGAGGTGGCGCGGGGCGCTGTATTCTCAAAACGAGGACCCAGCACCACGGGATGGTTGGGAATCAAGACGTCGCATGTCTGGGACCGCCCCCGCCTCCGCCTCACTGTCCCTCTCGTCTCCGGTCGGACGGCAGGGGATCCGGCGCGGAGGGAGGGAGAAGAGATACAACACCTGCTGCGTGCAGCTGGTCTCGGCCCCGCCGCTGGGCGCCTTCCTCAGCACGTGGGCGCCTCCGGCGCCGGGTGGCGCCGGAGAAGCCAGCTACACGAGAGGTGATTCGCCGCTAACCCCCTCTTGCTGTCCTCCCCTTCGCTGGCCCCGATCCTCGTCCTTCTCTTTCCCCCCCTAAGGTTTCCAGGGACGGTGCAGACCATCCAGTACATGGGCCAGCTACGAGAGGTGTTTCGCTAACCCCCTTTTTGCTGTCCCCCCCCTTCGCCAGCCCCGATCACCTTCCTTCTCTCTCCCATCCCTAAGGTTTCCAGGGACGGTGCAGACCATCCAGTTCTCGCTGGACCAGGCGCCCGCGGGGCGGTGAGGAAGACACTCCATGCCCCAGCGCGGCAGGCACGGCGCTGCTGCGGTCAGCCAGCAGCGCGTGTGCCGAGGAAGTCGCCAGAATCTGGATGAGCTTGAGCACGGCGGTGGGAGGGGAATCGGAGCAAGGGACAGGCGCGATGAGGGCTCGATCGAAGACGAGGAGGGCGGGTATCCCCCCAAGGGGGGCACGATCGAAGACGAAGAGGGCGGGTATCGAGGGTTTCGGATACATGTGATGAACCACACGCGAGCAGACAAGAGCGAACAGTCTTACACATATTGATGTTGTTGTTGCTGACGGCCCCAGGTTCTGGTAAGGGCCCCCAGAAGACGAAAAGGACCCCAAATTACGCATCGTGATGTTGTCCACGACACGAGGGAAGTTGGGTCTGTCGGCTTCGAACGCAAAACTCTGGCCGCAGGCGGTTGTTCGGGACTCGAGGCGCAGCTGATGGAACGCACCCGGGGGCTTGAAAACATGGAAACCATATGAATTGTTCCGAGCATCGCCATGAAGAAAGGGAAACGGATCCCAGGCCCCATAGCTTTTCCCAAGGTCAGCCCTTCAGCCTGAGTCGTTTTGAAACGGTCCCAGGGCTCGCAGAGGGCCCCAGGGGCATGAGAAGGGGGAACACATTTAGGACTCTTAGCTTCGCATGCGGGTGGCACCAGCGGGGGGGGGCGAAAGTTGAGCGCGCCGTCAGGTCTGTCTCAGAGAAATTGAGACGAACTCAGAGAAGTAGAGAACATCTAGGACATACTGAAAGAAGCAGAGACAAACTGAATCAGTGTTCAGGCCCCGAGGGCGGTTTGGTAGTGTTTTGAGCGCCGTTTAGCTTGCAAGCGCAGCGGCCGGTCGCCCCCCCCATCTCCGCCACCCCCGTGTGGAGCTGCATGAACGACTCTTTCCTCCAGTGCCCGTTTCTCAGAAACTGGAACATCTACATTACCAGTGGCGGGCTGTTTTTCAATCCCAGAACTTTTTGAGGGTCGGGGACGACGTCGGGGTGTTGTGGTGTATACTTTTTGTTCCATTTCGCGGGGGGGAACATGAAAAGCTGAATATACCAGGATCCGTATACACCAGGATCCGCTTTCCTGTGCGCATTTCAGTGCGGGGCCGGAAAAAGCGTCGGTGTATAGAGTTCGGCTCTTTAGCTTCTGCCATGCTCAGAACAGGAGCGACAGAAGGACGTACACGTACGTGAATCTACGTTGGTTTCGACAGTACGCATTGCGCGAACGTTCGTATCACGCGGCCAGTCTCGCGGATTGGGGGGCCGTGTAAATGTGCGCGGTTGGGCTCGTACGCCTTTTGTGGGCTCCCCATAAAAAGGCCTCCGCTCTTCGATCCTCTTCCTGGGTCGATATCCGATGGCCCCGGAGCTGGGAAAGCGGCCTCCACAGGCCAAAAGCAACGAGAAGCCTGTCGTCACGGTTCCTCGTCTGCGACCTCCGGATCTGGGTGGGCTGCGAATCGATACTGGCATCCCACATGGGGTCCGAGTAGATGGGGTCGAAGGATCGCACCGCATCGCCGATGCATCGGCGTTTCGGTTTGATGTGAAGCCCGACTCTTTTCACGCTGACGGTGCCGATGCATCGCCGACGTCACCACTGCATCGGCGATGCGGCGAGATCTTCTGACTCTATCTACTCGGACCCCACTTGGGGGGTGTCATTGCTTCGGATTGCGCGCAGTCAGACCCCCCGACAGGTAGTCCCGGCTGGCCTCGACAGGCCCACGAGTAGCCACAGCTGGCCTCAACAGGCCTCCCGAGCAGTCGGGGGCGGTCTCATCAGCACCCTGGCGCCGCCTCCGGCGGCGCCCCTGGGGCGCTCCCTTACGACTGGAAGGCCTCCGAGATTGTTGCCTCCCTCCTCCCCTCCGCCCGAAGCCCCGCCCCGCCGCCGCCGCGCGCGCGCCCCCCTGCGCGCGAGGGCTCGGCGGGGCCGCCGATGCGCTCGCGCACGAGCGACGGCCTGGAGGCGCCCGATGCGGCGGCGGCGGTCGTCGTCGAGCGTCGTCTAGCGTCGTCGCGCGTTGACGAACGTCGACGTCGCCGAAAGGAGTCGTCGTGGAACGTCAAATGCCGCCGTCGTCGAATGTCGTCGTCGTCGTCGTCGACGACGTCGTCGTCGTGTTCTGGGGTCGACGTCACCAGGCTGCAAGGCAGGGCGGACATTCTTCGCGAGATGGATCAGGTTCGCCGCGAGCTGAGGGAGGCCAGATCTGAGTAGCTGCCCGGGGCTCTGCTCGGATTGTTGGTGTCCTTCCAGGGGCGGCCTGGAGGATGGTTCGTCTTCGGGCCCGCGGGGTTCCCGGGGGCGGCCCTGGTGGCTGCGTTCGGTTGCCCGTGGGTCTCCGTCCCCGCGGGGGTGGTGAGAACCTTGGCCACGCCTGTTGCTCCTGGGAGAGTTGTTGCCGGGGTGCTCGCCTTTCGGTGGGAACCCTCGGGCTCCTCGTCGCCACTCGCGCGTGGCCAAAGCCGATCTTCGGCTCGCTATCTTGCCGCGTTGCGGTTACGCAGATCGACGAAGCGCCATCAGCCATGTCAAGTCCATAGCCTCCTCCCTCTCGTCCTCGTGCTGCTTCTCCTCCCGGTCCCCTCCCTTCTCCTCGAGATGCTTGTATCCACATGTTTTCTTGTGGAGGGATGGTGTTCTGTCTGGTGTTGGGATAACTAACCCTCTGAAAGGGCAGCGCATTGTTTCTTCTCCACGGTTGTTGCTTCTCGCCCTGCTCCTCTTGGATCTTCGTTCTTCCTTTGTCCGCCCTTCCCTTGCTGTCCAGTGTCGCCCTCCTTTTTCCTCCTTTCTCCTCCTCCTCCTCCTCCTCCTCCTCCTCCTCCTCCTCCTCCTCTTCCTTTCTCCTCCTCCCCCTCTTTTCTCCTTTTCCTCCTCCTCCTCCCCCTCCTTTCTCCTCCTCCTCCTCCTCCTTCCTCGCCCTGCTCTTCCTCGCCCTGCCCGCCCTGGGCGATGGCAGGGGTAAGGCGCGCGCTCGCCGTCCCCCTCCCCCCCCAAAAAAAATTATGCTAACGGAGTTCCCCACATAAAGATGTTACGGGGTTCCATTGCTTCTTGTCTGCGCTCTGGTGGGGCCTCCCTGGAGGTGTGGGAGGGGCACGACACCTGATGAATAACATGGTGTGCGAATACCCTGCCCGCTCTGGTGGGGCCTCCCTGGAGTGGTGGGAGGGGCGCGAAACCTGATAAACAACATGGTGTACGGATACCCTGCCCGCTCTGGTGGGGCCTCCCTGGAGAGGTGGGAGGGGCACGACACCTGATAAATAACATGGTGTGCGAATGCCCTGCCCGCTCTGGTGGGGCCTCCCTGGAGGGGTGGGAGGGGCATGAAACCTGATAATTCATATGGTGTGCGAATACCCTGCCCGCTCTGGCGGGGCCTCCCTGGAATGTTGGGAGGGGCGCGAAACCTGATAAATAACATGGTGTGCGGATACCCTGCCCGCTCTGGTGGGGCCTCCCTGGAGGGGTGGAGGGGCACGAAACCAGATAAATAACATGGTGTGCGAATACCCTGCTCGCTCAGGCGGGGCCTCCCTGGAGGGGTGGGAGGGGCACGAAACCTGATAAATAACATGGTGTGAGGAAAGGCATGGTATGGTATGGGATGGTGGATGCATGGTATGGTATGGTAAGGTATGGTATGGAGTGGCATGGTATTGGTATGGTATGATACAGTATGGGATGGTGGAGGAAGCGGGAGGAGGAGGAGGAGGAGGAGGAGGAGAGGATGTTCTGGGAAAACAAGAACCCCACTCAGGATGTGGGGAAAAAACCTCGGGTCGGCCCGCGGAGGTGCAGCTGGAGGTGTCGTTCCAGTACCAGCTGAACTTCAGCACTGTCACCGCCGCCATCTCTCCTTCTCTCTCTCTCTCTCGCGTTCTCTCTCTCTCTCTCCAGCCTGGTGTCTTTCTCGGGAGGGAGGGAAGGGACGAGGGAGGAGGATCCAGACCGAAGATCTGCTTTGGGGGGAATCAGGCCAGCCAGTTGTCCTTCCTCTCGGGTTCTGGAGGCCGCTTTCGAAGGGCAATCAAAAACGGATCAGGGACGCAGAACTACCCCGAGGCAAGGGGTCGGCAGGTCTGGGGCCTCGGAGTGGAAACATGGTATCGGAGCACACCTGGGGAGGCGAGGAGGAACGATGCTTGTGTCAGCGTCAGTGACATTTTTTCGGGCTTCGTGGAGACCTGCAAAGGCATACGGGAACTCCGAGAGACCACTGGAGCTTCCTGGAACTCCAGGAGGGTCATCTGTGATCTAATTGATTCGGTTCGATGTCGATTCTGGCTAGCCAGATCCAATTCAATCCGACTCCGATGCTCCGACGATCCAGTGCGGGCCGACAGTTGCATGGCGCTCTTGTGCATCCCGGCGCGACCGGTCAGGATCAATTTCGATTCCGACGCACATTCCGATGTTTGATCCAGTTTCCCGACTCGAGGCTGATTGATCTGCTGGAAGATGAGAAAGGGTGGAATTGAGTGTTTTGTTATGCCGAAGTTCTTGCTGTGAGTGTTCTCCCTCCTTTTCCCGTCCTCCGCGGCCGCTCTCCGCCTTGGTCCCCTCTCTTGCCGCCAGACACTTCGTGCGTGCCCGAGCCCGTCCCACTAGAGCGCGCGTGCGGATCGCCTCGGCCGCGCTGCGACGTAGCAAGTTTCGTTGTGCCGGTTGCCCTTTTTGAGGCTTCGGGGTCGCCCACTCGGCCACACGCCAGAGCGACCCTCCGCCAGAACGACCTCCGGTGTGCGCGGCCTTCGGGGGGGCGCGCGGCATAGGGGCTCGCGATGCGCAATCACAAGCGTAAGCCCGGTTTTGAAGCCAGGCTTGGCCACAGTCGTGTACGATGGAGGTCCGTTCGGGGAGGGTACCCCAGTGTTCTTCGTGTTTGTTGCATGTTCTTGTGCATCCTGGGCGCGGAGCACCCTCGAATGTTCTTCCGTTGGGCTGGCGGAGGCTGTCATGTTCTTGAAGGATGTTCTTCTGTCCTAGGTCCGACCGTGCGCTCAACGTTGGGGTTCGTGATTGCGAGGGCGACGGTAAAGAAGCACCAGCAACACCGTCATACCAGTTCACATCTACCTCATTTTCGTGTCGTAGTTTGAACCTGCTTCTCATGACGCGCAGGCCGTTGTTGCCGCATCGCTTGCAGCTATCGGCAAGTCGTGCACCGGAGGTCACTCGTGCCGGGGGCCACTTCGCACGCCAGCGGCTGCAAGGCAGCGTGGTGGGCGGCCCGGCTCGCTCGCCCGCAGGCGCGGCCGTGCTCAGCCACGCGCAGAGGGGGGTGGGGGGAGGGGGGAGGGCTTCTTAGAAGCACCCCTGCTTCTTAGATTAGAAGGCGCGGGCCTGATCTGTAGATGTAAGGCCGGCGCCTTCTAAGAAGCAGCCTCCTTCTTCGAAGCCCTCCACCCTCCCTCCACCCCCTTGTGCGCGCCGCCAACGTGCGCCCCGAATTCGATGACCCCTCCTGTCCGATCTCGCCCTTCTCGTCGGCCCGACCCTCCTCGGCGCTCCCTCTCCCTCCTCCCTCCTGTCCATTCTTCCCTCCTCCTCTCTCCCTCCTCCCTCTTCCTCCTCCTCCTTCCTCCCTCCGTCCTCCTCCTCTCCCTCCTCCCCCCTCGTGGCTCATGGCCCCTTCCCTATAGGGCGGGGGGGTAGTCTTGTACTCCGCAGCCGGCTTCCCCTGGGCCCGGAAGCAGCCCTTCGGAGGCCAAAATCGGGGAGAAGAGGGCCGCAGTTGAAAAAGGCACAATGTCGGGGGCTCGGGTCGCCATTCTTGCCCCCCGTTCTCGCGGACGCTCTTTCGGCGGTAGCGGCCTCGCGCGCAGCGA